TATACATATATATATATCGTTTAGAGGCGCGGTGGCTCAGGAAATAAAGTGCTCGCCTCCCTTTGGGTTCGAATCCCAGCGATGACTGGCCGATATAAATTCCGTGTATGGCTCTCGCCGATCACAGAGCTCACGTAAAAATATCTTCAGTGGTAGATGCATCATGGGCGCTAGAGTTCCCTTGTAGTCCGGCTAACCGTGGAAGGTTTTCGTGCTTTTCCTCTCCGTGTACCGCAAATACGGACTAGTTTCATAAAAAATTCCTCTACGAAGGTTAGTTTGTCCCAATGTTTGATCTAGGAGTTCCCTTATTTTCTGAATTGGGCTAAAAATTACAAGGCCACAGAGTTCGAAACATTGGTAGCAGTAAAATGAAATTTGGGTTCAACGCCGGTTATAAAATAAAGAATGACATTAACACCAGTTTCTTTTAAATAGTTCATTTGATGCTTGAGTACTGAGGCTTTCCTGCGTCACAACCAGCTAGTTTTAGAAATTCCTCTGTCTTATCTGATAAAATAAATTCATATTTTAAAAGGACTTTCGTTTAAGAACCATCTGCTGATGCTCTCATCATTCTATTTAAGCTCTTTTAAAAGAACTTCCAAGTGTTCATTTTAAGGATAAAAATATTATCTGTTCAGTCCACGAAGGAAAATAACGCATTCATTTTTTTTTGTTTTGTTCCATCCGCTTTTCTTTTCAGCCACTTGTAGTATAATCCACTTTCCCCTTTAGGGAAAAAAAAAGAAGAAAATAATGGTGATGTAAATATTTATTTATTTATTTTTTATTAGAAAATTCAGCATTACTTAAACTCGTTTAGATTAGATACTTATATTTTGTTACTCAGTAGAAGAAAAAAAAAATTGTAATACAGATCAAGTTCGATATAATGGAATCGACGTATACTCTTAGTGAAATCGAGAGTATACTCTGTCGATATATAAGAGTATATCGATAGTATATTTTCGATACCTCAAAGTTGAAGGGGCGCTAAAAATTTTTGAGATAGCGAGTTTTCGAGGTAACAAGTTCAGAACTAAATATGTTCTAAAAAGTTATAAAATATATTCTAAAATATGACTCTAAAAGGTATAGTTATGAAACATAAGAATAAGTATGTATATAATGATAGTTGATTTTAAGTCTAATTACAACAATGATAATTTTATTTTTAAAAGTAAGACAAGAACTATTATGCATTAAATAGAAAAGAATTGATTGAATGAATTTGCTTTGTGATTTTTTCGAAAAAATCGCTTTTCTATTTCGAAAAAAATTCGAAACAGCGAAGTTTTGAGAAGAAACCCTTTGACATAAGAATCCAAATTAAAATTAGGTGGATACATAATGCCAAGAGGAAAAATATTTTTTTTGATATGATAAGGTTTTAAAGACATCTAGAGTATACTGTATATCGTCCAACGAAATATAACACTAAGTGTCAAACCCTTAGATATACTATCTGATTATGTTTTTTTAAGGTTCCGTTTCCCTGCCCGGTATGCCCTACAGCAATGTTTTTTTTTACGGTTAAGTACCACTGCGCAGTATGCATTTAAACTGCTCTCCGAGCACTGATGTTTCTCTTAATCTATCCTCAGCAGATATTAAAATATCGAATCAATATAATAATATCAACGAATCAATTAATATCAAATCGGATATAACATATATTTTGGACATTCACCTAAGCGACTATAGCAGCAAAGCTTAGCATTATAATCGGTGCTAAATTAGAATTCAAAGAATTTTGTGTAAATTTTAACAGATATCTTAAAAATTAATTAAATTCTCAAATTTTCTAAAAATTCCATTTTCTTTAAAAGTTTCTGCTGTAGTTCACCATCACAGGAAAAATATAATTTGCAAAACTTGAAATAATTGTAGAATATTGTTTAAATTTATTAATAGAAAGAGAGACTTGATTGCATATGGAAATAACGTCAAATAACTTTTGGTATTCAAGTATATTTTATTTCTTCTGAAAATCAATTGCGTTGAGAAAATGGCTTAACTGACTGTTTTTCCCCTTTACTTGAGTACAAATACCCTCTTCCATTCTATACTGGTATTATTTTTTTAATCTAACTAATTGGTAATGAAATAGGTGGACAATACCTGGACTACTCAAAATGAAGCACAATTTTCAAGGAACAAACATTATCTGTTTTGCGTGTCAATAATAAATATCTCTTCCGAGGCCAGTGAACGCCGCCAACGACTTCCGCCACCCATCAAGAGAGTGCGCCAAACATATCACGATCTTTTGTCACAAAAATTCGAATTCCGTTTCTTCTTCCTTTGATTATGTCATTTTGTCTTCCTTCTAAACAGCTTGTCCATTGTGCAAACAAAGGACAAGTGCGTTTCAATTTTGAGAAACAAAAGGGGGAAAATACGAATTGGGAAAAAGGATATAATTTTCCAGGAAGGAATTTTTCTTTCCTCGGTCGGAATCAATCCCTTCCTGTTTTGTTTTGTGGAATACGTACTTCCGATCACGAGGAGCAACAGATAATAGAATATAGGAAAACTATCAAGTGTTATTATGTTTTAAATTGCATCAAATTAATTTTTGCACGATTTAATAATAGGCCTTTAGTTAAGGGAAAATGTTCGCTTGCTTCTTAAACAAGATCTGCACATTATTTTGCGAATTTATCGTTCAATGGGAGTTAAAAATGTGAATAAAAAATGAAATTTCATCCCAGACATTAAAGTATTATTTAACTTCGCTTTCTCGCAAAGTTGGAATAAAATCAAGCATTTCATTCATTTTTTCAGTGGCGAATCTTAGCTGTTAGGAAAAAGCAGAATAAATTGATCGTGACGGTGAATTTAAATTTGGACATATTTGTGAAATATTCGTATCGTTGGCGTGAAAAATTGGCGGTATGTTCCAGTAGAAAGTGAGTTGCCTGTAAAATTATTGCTTATAATGAAGTGAGCCATCGGTGAGACTAGCTAGAGTTCTCAAGCTCAACTCGAAGCCGCGATGGCTCAGGGGAATGAGCGTTCACCTTCTAATGAAGTGAACCGGATTCGAATCCCAGGGATGGCTGGTCGATACGAATTCCGCATCCAGCTTGCACCAACCACAGTGTGACGTAGAATATCCTTAGTGGTAGACGAATCACGGGTTAGAGTTCCCTTGCCGTCAGGCTAACCGTAAGAGGTTTTCGTGGTTTTTCACTCCTTGTCACGCAAAATGCTGGTTAGTTCCATCAAAAAGTCCTCCACGACGGCAAATTTGTTTTAATACTTGATCTAGGAGTTCCCTTGTCTTCAGGATGGGGTTCAAAATGACAAGTCTACGAAGTTGAACATTAGTAGCCGTAAGCCCAAAAAATTGGGTCGGCTGTTCAACGACGATTATAAGATAAAATAAAATTTTATCTCGAGCACAATGCCTGATGCCGGTAATATTTCCATTCGTCCATTAAGCGATAGACGCGGAATTTATCACAATATGGAATTAAACGTCAACTGAAATTTCCACGAATTTCTGACAACCACGAATTTTATTAATTAAATATTTAAAAAAATTTTTATAGGTTGTAAAGTCCCCAAGTAAAATGCATTTTTACCCATGCAAAATTTAGATTGACCAAAATCAGCATATGAGGTAATAAACGCTTTTTCTTTTTTATGTACCACTATCATTAAAAATAAATATTCCAAACTTGCAATCCTACAGAGTAATCTATAAATTGTATCTATTAGAGCTAAAAAAAAGTAATTTATTTCCTCTCTTCATTTCCGTGGATCAAAATTTTACACGCTTAAAAATAACACGAAACAATTGGTGCTGAAAGAAAGACTTTTTACTTACAAAGAGTTTCCCCATTTTTGTCCAACCCCTGTATTTCATCCCAATATTTTAGTCCTGATTTTGTTGAAAGCATCAATTATTATTACTGTTCAAAAAATTATCTTATATGACATTATTTATTATCTATTATTTGAACACTATACTTTAAAAGGTGGCCCGAGAAAATCTTTACTTTGTGGTTAGGAGTTAGCTATTAATTAACACTACGATTAATGTTCATACTGCTGTCCGATCAGTTCACCTATGCCAAAAATGACCCACTGACCAGCTTCCTCAGAAAACAAGAAAACTGATTGTAAAATTTCTAAATGGATGTTTGTTGTCGTAGTTGGTGTAGTTCATTTACTCACACTAGAGCAGCACAATGGGCTATTGGCGACGGTTTGGGAAACATCTCTGAGGATGATCCGAAGACATGCCACCACAATTTTGATCCTCTGCAGAGGGGATGGCACTAATTTTGGGTTTACGACAGCCAATGTTCAACTTGTAATTTTGAGCCCAATCTAGAAGACAAGGGAGCTTCTGGATCCAGTATTGGGAGAAATTTTGCTTTCGAGGAGGACTTTTTGATGGAACTAATCCGCATTTGCGTTACATGGCGCGGGAAACCTCTAAACCACGGTTAGCCTGACGCGAAAGGGACTCTAATCTATGATTCGTCTACCACTGAGGATATTTTACGTCAGCACTGCGATCTGTGCATGAGGCATGCCGAGTGGGGAACTCGAAATTCATATTCGGGGATTCAAACCCGTTTCTCCTGAATGGGAGGCGAGCGTTTTATCCTCTGAGTCACACAACTCTGTCTGTTCCTTTGAAAATGACACTAAAGACGAAAAACCTATCATCTTATATTATAAACTGAAATGTATAGTCGCCGCTTTCCTACCACGCCTTACGTGACAGAGAAGTGAGGACACTTGGCAGTCACTGGAGTGAATTTTAAAATATCTTGTTGAGGACTATATTAATAGATTGCATAAAAACTGTAGCACGTGGAGAGAAACTCATTACAGATTGTAATCAGCGGCGCTATAATACCTGAGATCCGTTCAAAAATCTGGGGCGGCAGATAAAAAAAATAAATTTTAAAGAAAATTTAAAATGCTTTTTCTTTCTTCTGTGTAATTTACTCGCTAATGACTACACAACATACTGTTCAAAATTTTTTATCTTTCTTTGATGTTTGATTTTTTTTCTTTTGCGATGGGATATTGCTACACGAGGTTTAAGTTTGAGATCAGAGTTCCAGCGGTCCTTGAAAACTTTTAGTAGTGGCAGTAAATTAAATAAAATGCTAAGAGAAATTTCTTATCTTAATCTACTACTTGTCGTAAAGTGGTTTAGAAGCGGTAATTTTCATGTTAATATATTTTCTTTGGAAAATAATTTTTAGTGGTGGTAACACAGAAATTAAAGTTTAGAAATATGTTTAATTTTTGCTACCACTTTTTAAAATTCACAAGGCCCGCAGGAACCTTGTGTATGTAAACTGGAATACAAGTGTATAATAAAGTCGATTTTATGTGTCGGCTGATATTTGAATAAAAATTTTTTTTAAAAAACAAAAACGGATAAATGTTTTACTTTCGAAACTTATTTTGATGAAACAAGACACTCTTTTTCACCTTATACAGTGAAGTTGAGATAGCAATTGACTATCTATTTAACAACAAGTAGACAACTTTCAAAGAGGGAATTTATTGGTTCAGTTTGATACTTGATCATTGATCATTAAGATTAGCTAAGACATGAGATCTACATACAGAAATGTACACCTAAGATTCCATCGAATCTACGAAATAAGCATAAACGTTGTAACACTTTTTTTCTTAAATATATCGCTTTTACGTCCCGAATGTTGTGTTTTTGCAGCAGTAGTCCAAACTGCGTCATGGGTGAAAGCGAGACGGAAAAGAGG